ATACATGAGCAAGGGAAAGCATTCCCATGGCAGAACAATAGGAGAAAGAACAATAGAGTCCAAAAGTAGAACAAGGGCCACTTGGCCACAGGAACAATGCAACAAAAGAAGTGTGGCCGGAGCTCTGCTCCGGTCCGATTGCTCCGCCATTGATACAACCATGTGGTCACATGGTGTGGTGGCTCCCGCCACCGGGGGATCGTCCTAGGCCGACCAGGGGACTGTGGCAGAGCACATTGTGACAGACTCTGTACATGATTTGTATTGTAGATTTTCCAGTGCCTTTCTAAGCTTGGCATCATCAGGACTTTGCTTATTTTGTCTCATATTTTGTCTGAGAATGACTGCTGTTGTCACCTGATGCCACAAAGCCTTACCTATTGATGCCTCCTGTTCACAATAACTGTAGGTGGTATGCAATACTGTGCCTACTTTGTGTGAGTATAATGGATATCCAGCTCCTGCAGGTGGTAGTTGTGCAAAATCTCCAGCAAATATCGCATTTACACCTCCAAATGGGTGACCATCATTATGCAAAGCAGTACACATTTTGGCACAAATCTCATACAGACTGTGACAATCAACCATAGATATTTCATCAATGAATATGTAGTCAACATTTTGCAGATGTGCTCTTACTTGCATAAGATTGGAGGCAGAGTCTGAACTATACTTGCTAAAACCAAGCATGGAATGATAAGTGGATCCTGCTATCAAGGCTGCTGCTGCACCTGTGGGGGCCATACAAATGAATCTGTATCCCTCCTTGCGCTCATTAAAGAAGTGTATCAATGCCTTGATCACCTGAGACTTTCCCGTGCCTGCCATTCCACCAAGATACATTTTGAGCTGTTCACCAGATGGATCCGTAGCATGGTTTGCCACTATTCTAAATGCATGCTCCTGTTCCTTGTTTAAACTGAACCTTTTAACTGTGTTATCAATCAGCTTTTGATCTGACACTTGTTTTGCCTTAAAACCCTTGTCCAAGTACGACTGATCAATCACTTTGACAATGTCAATATATTTTTCATTTGTAGTGCTATGGTTACTTGACTTCTTAGCTTCCATTTGCTCCTCTCTGGCTTGCAGAATTTATTGACGCTTTTCAGCAAGCAAAGTTCGCCACTCTGAGGCCTTTCACTCATCTCCAGTGATTATATGATTCTTGATTGGTTGCATCTTATATTCAGAAGGAAGATCATCAAGCCAACCTGACATGTGCATGATATTCTCAGCATGCATCATGTTGGCCATTCGTAGTTGTGTTTGACTTCCAATCTGTTGCCATTCATTAATATTTTGAAGTAGATCAACATCAGGGCTAAGACTGTCATTGACTTGATTTTCAAAGTGATCATCATCCAACTCATTCATTGTATTTTCATCCAATCCAAATGCAGCAAGATTGCCTGCTGTTCCTGCTTTGCGTGCCTTGGAAAAGTCATTTCTGGCATCATTACATATCAAAAGGTGATGCAGGGAGCAGTTGCACAGCACTAGCACTGAGGGACTGAATGCCACAAGTGGGGCTGAAGTCAAAGCAGATCACAGAAGCGGTAATAAAGGGTCACTACAGAGCCCTTTATATACATGAGCAGGGGAAAGCATTCCCACAGCAGAACAATAAGAAAAAGAACAATAGAGTCCAAAAGGAGAACAAAGGCCACTGGCCACAGGAACAATGCAAGGTGGAAGGGTTACTCAACCATGGATGACTCATGGGAACCCGAAGCAAACCTGACAGGGACTGCGGATGACGTGCTAACGGAGTATAAGAAAAGGAAGAACTTGAGCTGAGTCGACAGCAGCTCAACCCAGTCGCTACACCCCCACTCATACCAACATGTCTTCCACCCTCTCGTTCCTCGACCAGTTCAACGCCCCCTCGACCGAAGGTGGGAAAAGGCTCTCAATCTACACCCCTAAGCACACCCACGTCGGCGACAGCACCTTGCTGACGTTCCTTCTCAGTAATCCCACCGACGTTTTCAACAAGCTCAAAGCCCACAACCCCGAGGCAACCAATGCCACCGACCGCGCTGCACTAGAGGCGTATCTCTCCGCCCGCCACGAATACGATGAGGCTGTCAAGGCAGCCGACGAGGCCATCGACCACCACAAACGGCTCCTACGCCAACAGGACGACCGCGTCCTCACCGAGCTCATCCGGCTCGATAATCTGAAAGTTGCCCATCGCTTTCAACCGCTCCTACCACGCAGCATCTGGGCGCGACACAACAAATTCATCCCGCGCGCCATCCCCAACGCGTACTTACCCCTACCCGCACCCCTACCGACGTCTGCCTTCAGGCGCCCCCCGATCCCATCCCCTTTCCTCCAAGCAACGCCGCGGAGCACTACCATCCCGGCTGACTGGCAACCCAACCCTGGTTGG